CTCTGCCGGCCCTCTCCGCGGACCCCGTTCCCGAGCTGCCCCTTCCCGCCCTCCCCCTGTTTCCATCCCCGACCTAACCCCCCCGGGCGTCTTTGTCCACTTCCCCTCCCTCCCGCCTTCCTCCCGTCCCTTCCCGCCGCAGGCTGGGCAGCCCCGACCCCGGCCAGGCCCCTTTCCGGGCGGTGCGAGGTTTGAGGGGTGCCGAGGAGGCCTGGCCGACCCTCGGAGCGGGGGGAGCCCCTGCGTATCACGCCCGTCAGTCTATCTCCCCCCCCTTCGTCCGCCCCGCTCGCCAGCCCGGGTTCGCCCCCATCCCACTTCTGCTTTTCCCCTCCACCCCCAGGACCCCGAGATCCGAGCCCTCCTCTGGGATGAGCGAACACCCTCCCCCAGACACCCCTTCCCCGGCCCGGGGTGTCTCTGGGCGTTGTGAACTTGGCCCGCATCTTCTCCTGGGGCCTTTTTTTTGGGGGGGGTACGATGAGGCCGAGTCAGCCCCCGGCCAGACGCGAGCGGGGACACCCCGGCGTTTCCTGCCGGAGTAGTGGCGGAACGTCATCCCCTAGCCCCGGGCGACCGGGGCCGGGCGCCGCCGGCCGGGATGCGCCGCGCCGCGCCGGGGTTACTATAGTTCAGATGCGTCGGAGACGAGCGGGCGGGGGAGGGGGGAGGCGCGGGAGAGAGGAAGGGGCCTGCGCCGCGCGGAGGCCTCGGAGATTAATGGACGGCTTTAAAACCACGCCGTGTGCCGTAAACAGGAAGCTAGGCTGAAAGGAACCGAGAGGACCCCGTGCCTTTCTGTTTAAATGTATTTACAAAACCGCGGAGTGTGCAGTTCTGGTGGAGTCTTGAATCCAGCCCAAAAGGATGAGCTGTCGCCGGCTGCAGTCGTGATCCAGGATGGGCGCCCCATGGCAGAGGCAGTGGCGCGGCGGGTGTCCCCGGTGGATGGAGATGGCCCTGGACACCTCGCCGGGGGCCCTTGCGCAGACGGGAAAATCACAAGATTGCTAGTAGTTGGTGTGGAAATCGGGTACACACGAAGTTAGCTCGCCGCGAGCGGGAGAGGGGAGGGCCGGCTATATTTAAAGCGTGTGCCGGTGCTTATGTAATAAGTGCGTTTTCTCCCATCCTAGGCTCCAGTTTTGCTTGCGTTCAGGTCTCAGCATCCTAGCACACAGATGGACAGCCCAACCCCCAACCCCCTCCTTTTTTTCCACCCAAAGATCCGTGGATGGTAGAATTTCTTTCTTTTTTTTTTTTTTAATGGTTGGAACAAAGAAAGGTTAATGATGAACGAACATTTTGGTTTTCTTCAGTTGATGGAGGAGGAAAAAAAAGTAGAAACTTTTCAGCCCTAAATTATCTTTATTAGCAGTTATTATCTAAAGTACCTATAATATCATGTTGAGTCGTATCATTTTTGTTGTACCTCTTTAAGGGGCAGTTTGGGAAATACGAGTGCATTCATTTTCTTGGGTACAATCAAATTTTCCATTTGTTTCCTTATTTTAATGTAGCTTTTTTTCTCTTTTAAAGCAGACATCAGCTGTTAGTTTACAGGCGTAATTTTTCTTACTGTTCAGGATGATTTGTTTGGTTTCATCATATTCAGGTCGAAAATCCACTTTCAGAAAAGTGTACACTGAAACCACTGGCTTTTCTGCCCCACAAATTGGAGTGGTAAGCATATGTAGTATATAAGACATTACTATGTGTGCTGTTTCCAAGTCTAGGGAAATCCCTCGTTAAAGTTGTTATGGTCTTGTTTTTGGTCAGCATTTATTGAACTTTTATTTTGGTGGATTTGGGAAAGAAATATCATTTTCTCTTTAGCGTGTGTGTGTGTGTGTGTGTGTGTGTGTAAGTCATCTTTGAGTTACCTTTAGTTATTTAGATTACTTCAAGAGACATGATATTGGAGTATTACTTTTCTCAGTTTAAGGAGGAAATTTTAAGACTTTGCATGGAAGGTAAAACAAGAGAAAGTTTGTATATTTGGCTTTAGATATGTCAGATCTTTAAATTTTTTTTTGTTTTTAGTGATACTACTTATTTTCTAGGACTGTTTGGTATTGCTGTGGTTTTAAGAGAACTTGCAGCTCCCTTCAACTTCATAATACGGTCTGCTGACAGTGAATCTAGGAAAATATATTAAGTTTGACCCACATATTGTAGAGTAAGTAACCTTTTTATCCCAGGAAAGAAGCCTCTATTCAAGGTATCTGCAAACAAAGCGAGCTCTTTGGAATTCTATGTGGATGTGGGTTTAGTGTGTAGAGCAGAACATAGCATAAGGTACTTACTTGAGGTGATCACTACCTGCCATGTGTATTTGTATTTTAGAAAGTTTAGACTAAGGTTTTGAAAAACAGAAGTGTCTTTTCTTTTTTGGTTTTTATGTTTTGAGTTTGTTTCCTTCATGTACTTATATGTGGCCAGCCTATCCCTGGTTTGTTACAGCATCACTGAAGTCCACAAAAAAACCCAAAAAACAAAAAAAAAATTAGTAAGTAAATAGTAGATGAGTTATTAAATGGGCATACTTAATTCCTTCCAACTTTCTTCTTAAAGGCATTTGACGCTTCATTTATCTTACCATGCTATAAAGTTTGGGGGAATCTTTCTTCTTGGATATCTGACAGGCTTAGTGACTCAAGGTTTTGTTTTTGTTGTATTTGTGAATTGGAAGTTGTGGCTGGAAATTAGGGGGAAATATGTACCATTGTTTCAGTAGCCTTTTGTAATAAAGATGATCCTTGGTCAGAATTAGAGAGAGTGCTTCCCTCCCCTCCCCTCCCCCGCCCAGCAGATCTATTTCTAAAACAGGATTATTTGGTTCATGTATTTTTTTCCTTTCGCCGTATCCCTTTAAGAGCGACAATTAATAGTCAAAATGGGCACATTTTAAAACCAGAGGGAAGACTCAAAGTTAGATGCCATAACTATGTATCACAAATATTAATTAGTAACAATTCCTCTGCCTCCTTTTTTAAAATTTAATTTTATTGTCAAGGTGATGTACAGAGGGGTTACAGTTACATATGCAAGGTAGTAAATTTCTTGTAGAACTTGTTACCTCCTCCCTAATTTTTTTTCCCATTTTCCCTCCCCTCGGTCCCCCTTTGTTATAAAAACTAGCAGCAATTTATATTAGACTATGAAAATAATATTTTTTTCAGTATAAAGGCTGTCAGTTCTGTTATCTTAGTAGTACTGATTTCCACGTGTGGCTAGTGAGTCGTGAGAAAATCTGCTATTCATAGATGTTGAAATCAATTCCCAACTAGACATTGAGCTACTACTGTGACCACCAGAGGAAGTAGCTCTTCCCTGAGGTCATTGAGTAGCTGAGAAGCGTTGCACATTGCAGCAACAATTCCTTCTTTAATACTGTCACCTTGGAGATTCTAGAAACCTTTGCAAATGTGACGGGATAGAAAGTAGGAAGTAGATTCACTGTTGCAAAGGATATTAGTGAGAATATTTTGGAATACTTTTTCCCAAGCTACCAGGTCCCTCAGTATCCTTGGATTGATTCTGGATCCCTCTCTGATACCAAAGTCTGCAGGAGCTTGAGTCTTTTCTACCTTACCACAGCTCTAGATGACTTTTTGGGTTTTTTTTTGGATGCTGGTCCTAGAGCTTGAACTCAGGGCCTGGACACTGTTATTGAGCTTTTGTGCTCAATCTTAGCATTCTACCACCTAAACCATAGCTCCATTTCCAGCTTTTTTGGTCATCAATTGGAATTTCCTGTCATCCCTGCCAGGGCAGGCTTTAAGCAATGATCCTCAGATCTCAGCCTCCCGAGTAGCTAGGATTACAGGTGTGAACCCCTTGCATCTGGGCTTTTAGATGACTTTTAACGCCTAATATGTAAGTGCTCTGGATAGTTGTTACACTATATTATTTAGGGGATAACAACATTAAAAGAGTAACGCCTAATATGTCAGTGCTCTGGATAGTTGTTACACTATATTATTTAGGGGATAACAACATTAAAAGAGTTATTACTTATTCACTACAGAAGTACTTTCTTTTCCATGGTGTTTCCAAGTTGAGGTTAATTGAATGAATGGATGCAGAACCTGTGGAGGGTTAACTGTGAAATCAGTGCCTTTCTGAAATGCAGTTTAAGTTCCTGTATGGCATAGTTTGAGATTTGGCTTTTCAGTGCATTTTTTGTTTTTTGGTGCCTGTCCTAGAGCTTGAATTCAGGGCCTGGGTGCTGTCCCTGAGCGTATTTACTCAAGGCTGGTGCTCTGCTACTTGAGCCACAACTCCATTTCCAGTTTTTGGTGGTTAATTGGAGATAAGAGTCTCATTGACTTTCCTGCCCAGGCTGACTTCATACTGCATCCTTGAATCACAGCCTCCTGAGGAGTTGAGGTTATAATAATGAGCCACAGTTCCAGACTACAGGAAGTTGTTTTTTATTTTTACAGTAGTTTTTTGTTTGGTTTGTTTTTGGATAGAAATATTATTAAGGGCTGGGAAGGTGGCTCAGTGGTAGAGCACTTGCCTTGCATGCATGAGGCTCTAGGTTCGATTCCTCAGCATATCACATAAGCAAAAAGAAAAAAACGTTGGAAATATTATTAAAAGCTGTTCCTTTAAAATTACAGCTGGGAGCCAGTTGGCTTATGCCTGTAATCCTAGCTACTCAGGAGGCTAAGATCTGAGGATCATAGTTTTAAGCTAGTCCCAGAAAAACGACCTGAGAGACTCTTACCTCCAGTTAACTAACAAAATGCCAGAGTAGAGCTGTGACTCAAGTGGTAGAGTGCCAGCCTTGAGCAAAAACACTCAAGAACAGTGCCCAGGCCCTGAGTTTAAGCCCCAGGATAGGCCGGGAAAAAAAACACACAACAAAACAAAAAATCAGAATCACGATATTTATTGTAACATTTATTGTATGTTGTTGGTAGTATTAATATACACAGATATAACAGCATTTGGATTATGGGAATAACGTGATCATTAAAAACTTATATTATTGGGGCTGGGAAGGTGGCTCAATGGTAGAGCGCTTGCCTTGCATGCATGAGTCCCTGGGTTCGATTTCTCAGCACCACATAAGCAAAAAGAAAAAAGCTGGAAGTGGCGCTGTGGCTCAAGTGGTTGAGCGCTAGCCTTGAGCTGAAGAGCTGAGGGACAGCGCCCAGGCCCAGAGTTCAGGCCCCACAACAGGATCCAAAAAAACACACACAAAAAAACTTGTATTATTGGTGTGCTGAGTTGAGCCTCTTTTCAGGTTTAACTTTTTGTGCTAGGAAGTTAGGAAAATTGGAGGGTAAGAGAAATACTGACAAATATTTAGCCATAGCTTAGCAATCTGTCACTATAATTTCCTTCAGAGATAAATGTTTTCATTTGTCCTGTAATGTCTGAAATTATTGCCAAAGCTAGAAATGTGTTTAGCTTTCTCAGCAAAATTCTTAAAAGGATGGTGACAGAGCCAACAGTCCAGAATTATCTTTGCTCTTTAAATTTTCCTATATCCACTTTGCTTGGCCTCTTCTGATTCCTTGGATTATTTGCAGCTCTATTATACAAAACAGGATAATCCTGATAACTCCTTTTCATTTTTTCCTCTTTTTTTTTAAAAAAATATTTTTTTCTCTTCATTCTTAGTATTTGCCAACATTTGCACAGAGACCTTGCAGACTCGGTGTTCAGCTTCTCCCATATGCTTGCCTGTCTGTGTAAAGGGTACCCCGATACACAGAGAACGGGTCCTGTGGTCCCCACTTGGAAGAGAATTTTAAACTAAGAGTGGGAGTGATTTAAGGATAGGATATTTCTTCTGCTTGTGAATTCATTATGAATTCTCTGGCTTGTGAATTTAGCACTCCAATTCTGTAAGTAAATAACAAAAAGGACAGGACTTGTAATAGACTAAATGTGAATTTGTTAATTTTTTGTCAGTCATGGGGCTTGAACTCTGGGCCTGGGCGCTGTCCCTGTGCTCTTCAGCTCAAGGCGAGTGCTCTACCGCTTGAGCCACAGCGCCACTTCCGGTTTCCTAGTGCTTTATTGGAGATAAGAGTCTCATGGACTTTCCTGCCCAGGCTGGCTTTGAACCCTGATCCTCAGATCTCAGCTTCCTGAGTAGCTAGGATTACAGGCGTGAGCCACTGGCGCCTGGCGAATTTGTTAAATTTTTACTCAATAGTTCAGCTTTTTTTCACTTAGTATTCTAATAGATTTGCCATCTTTTAAAAAATAATTTTGTAACTTTTAAACTTATTTGTCCTCTTTTTAGAGAGCTTATTGTATTTCAGGCAATAAAGTGAATTTTTATGAAATTAATTGGGCTTGGATGCTCTCTTAGTTTTTTTACTCAAGGCTGGTACTTTCCTATTTGAGTTATCGCTCTACTTCCAGTTTTTTTTTTTTTTTTTTTGCTGGAGACCAATCTCTTGGGTAAAAAGACCACAGGCCAGCCTGGACTGACCTTTTTTGCTTTAGTTATTTTTAAAAGTAAGCCTCACATTTTTTCCCCCTAGGCTGTTGTCTGACCTTGTATCTTCCTGTGTATGCTTCCCTCTTAGTTGGGATTACAAGTGTGTGCCATGACTTCCAGCTTATTAGTTGATATACAGTGTCCAGAACTTTTGCCTGGATTGGTCTTGAATGCCAATCCTCCCAATTTCTGCCTCCCAAGTAGCTGGGAAGCATGTGCCATCATGCCCGGACAACTTAGCGGTATTCTCATACAGGGTGGTTTGTTAAGGTCTTAGATTTGGAGTTGTTAGCTTCTTTAAAAATAAATTTTGATTTGGTCTGAGGTCATCCTAGGCAAAAGTACAAGACCTATATGAAAAGCAACTACGGCAGAGAGGGCTAGCAGGTTTGGCTCAGGTGGTAGAGCACTTGACAGGCAAGTGGGAGGTCATGAGTTCAAACCCAAGTACTGCCACAAACAAACAGTGCACTATAGCTGCACAATTTTGTATCCTCTGAAGTACTTTCCAACTTAGAGGCCTGTTAACATTTAGTTTTGCCTAAAATAGTTTAACTCACTGCTTTTCTAAATATTCTTTTAGCTCTGGGATTTTTCTTCAGTTTTTCAGAAGTCCCTTTCTTGCCTTTTTTTTTTAAATCTAAATTGAGCTCCCCAAATATTTTCTGTCAGTCCACCTTTGGTATTTCCTTCTTGGAATTTATCAGGATTTCTAACTGTGTTTGGAATTTTAAAATTTCACTGTCTCCTAGTATGGAAAAATGTCATGAGGCAGCTACTCTGTTCTCCTGATTAAGAGTACACACAAATTATGTTAAGTTTTGACAATACTGAAACATGGATTTTAATTTAAAATAGCATTTTAAATAATAAACAGACCGTCCAGGAAAAAACAAACCAGGTTTTGATCATGTAGTAGAATCCCAGGTATAGGTAGACCTGAAAGACTAATATAAGGCTGATTTCATAAATACCTAACAATAGCTAACTATGTAGCTAAGGAATTTTAGTGCCTTCTCCCTCCGTCCCCCTCTCCAGGCTTGAACTCAGGGCCTGGGCATTTCCCTGAATGATGCTCAGATCTCAGCCTCCTGAGTAGCTTGGATTACAGGTGTGAGCCATCAATGCCCATTAGTTTTTATGACAATCCTTTAGATTTATAAAATGATAGCAAATATTATTTGTGTTGACTTACATTGTGCTTTCTGGATTTTAGGTCTGTCCCAAGTGAAAAAAAAAGAAAGAGAAAAAGCATGGCTGCAAAGGAGAAGCTGGAGGCAGTGTTGAATGTGGCCCTGAGGGTGCCCAGCATCATGCTGCTGGATGTCCTATACCGCTGGGATGTCAGCTCCTTCTTCCAGCAGATCCAGAGAAGCAGCCTCAGCAACAACCCCCTTTTCCAGTACAAGTATTTGGCTCTCAATATGCATTACGTAGGTATGTGTCTGCTCCCTCTATCTGACCTGCTGAGAGCATTCAGATGCGTGTCTTTGCACATTATCCATTTGGGTAAAGTAAGCTTCAGTTACATTGCTGTTACTGTGATTAGGAGTTGGGCCAATCTTGTTTATGGCTTTGTTTACCATGGCATGTAAATTACTAGGACTAGAGGAAAGTAGGTAGTGTTGGATTTGTTTTACTAGATAAAACTCGTAAAGCAAGAGGAAAAAGCCTTTTATAGTGTGGTAATTGTGTTTTTGGTGGTCCTGGGATTTGAACTCAGGGCTTCAGGCTTGCCAGGTTGGGATCTTCTGCATGACCCGTGCCTTCAGCCCAACAGTTTGGTGTTCAATATGATAAAACATAAATAATGATAAATACTTTTCAAATAACTTTTTTATTCTGATTTGTCCTTATTTTAGGGGTTGGTTATGAGTCAGAAAGTAAGTTTTGAAAAGTAAGTTTTTATTCCTGAGACAACCTAATCTATTAATAAAGATAAAATAATCATTTTAATTAAATGGAATTTGGGAAATAGTAGTACAATGCAATTATTTCCTCCCTTACAAAATACTCCTGGGATTATAGTTGATATGCTTTGAGGTTAGTAGTAAAATTAATAATGAGAGATTAAGGACATTAAAGGCAAGAAATGCAGACCCAAAGTAGATAAAATTCACCCAGAATAAAAGCATCCTTAAGTTTAAGCTAGTTTTTTGTTTACCTGTAACAAGTACCACATTTTAAAATTAACATTGTTATTACAAACTCCAGACCTGCTTTGAATGTTGTATTATAATTGTTTTAGATTAATATTTTATTGGAATTGCTTACCACAAAGTACATCTTTCATAAAATTGTGAATGATTGTCCTGTTTCTGTGAGATTATTTTAGAAGAGCTTTTTGAGTTTACAACTGAGCTGTCAGAACCCTGTTCAGCTGTGATTGCACTGTGGAAGCAGAATATCTGGACTTAATTATATGCTGTTCATTTAGCTCATCATTATCAACTTGGCTATGGGTTATTTGGTCCATTCTGAGTGATGCATGCTTACCCAAAACAGTGAATATGATGTATTTATTTATTGCCAGAGCTTGAGCTTCAGAGCCTTGTGCTTCCTCAGTTTGCTTTCTCTGCTGATGTTCTACCACTTAAGTCATTCCTTCCACCCTACTTTTTGCTGGCTAATTTGAGATGGAGTCTCACAGACTTTTCTGCCTAGGCTGCTTTCAAACCACAACTTTCCATATCTCTGTCTCTTGAGTAGGTAGGACTACAGGCCACCAGTGTGCAGCTTTAGTGAATGACATTTTGGGGAGCAAAAGCAGTTGAGCTGCTTTGCTGAGGGAGAAGGAAAGGACCTGAGTGTGTATTGTTGAATCTAACCATTTAAGTGTCTCTATCTCATAAATACTGAGCTATTATGTGTATTCATTTAGAATAAGAAATGAGGTAGGTTTTTGCACACATAGTAGGTTCCTGGTAACATATCTGGAATGTATGTCAATATTTGAAGCAATAAATAAATTCATTGTGCCAGATTGTTTTATATAGAGAAAAACAGTTATTTAGAGACCACATTAACAGAGGTTAAGAAATCCACATCCCAGAAGCACAGGGAATAAGGCTGCTGCTCAGGTGCAAGACCTGAGATGAGCCTCAAGTCTTGGGTTTGACAGGTAGTCAGATGCACATTTCTTTAGAGTGATAAGGTGTGTGTGTGTGTGTGTGTGTGTGTGTGTGTGTGTGTGTGTGTGTAAGAAAGAGGGAATTAAGATAGGTGGGTAGAAAATAGAAGCACTGACTGTAGATGGTTTGAAACATTTGTCAGTGGAATGTGAAAGATGGGCATAGGAAAAGGAGAAAATTACTTTGAAGAGCAATGTTTACTTGGTGGCTTTCTCCAGGGTGGGGAGGAGCCCTGCACATCCTGTGAAACAGATAGACTGGTGTCTGGTGGAGTGATTGGAAGACACAGGAGAGAGAGAATGGGTCTTCAGGAGTTGGAGGATTATGATGGTTAATCACGAGGAACGGGAAGCCTAGAGAAACACAGGATGACATGTAGTTCTTCTTTGGGGAGCCAGAGTGCATCTTTGTATGCTATATTTGCTTTTGAGGTAGACAAAGTCTACACTGTAATCAACAAATGTCATATATTCTCAATTAAAACTCAGAGGTACTATGATACTGAATGAACTTTGGTAGTAAATACCTAATGGGAAAATAATTGTTTCATACTCCTAATATAACTAATTGGGAGACTAAATTAGAAGCATTTTTTAAACTTATATCTCTCTTAATTTGTGCTGCAGGTTATATCCTAAGTGTTGTGTTACTCACCCTGCCCAGACAGCATCTGGTTCAGCTGTATTTATATTTTCTGACTGCCCTGCTCCTCTATGCTGGTCATCAAATCTCCAGGTAAGCACGTGGCCCCATTTTTGATATAGGTGACTAAATTCAAGTTTCCTTATGCCATTGTAGCACTGTTGAGAAGGCTATGGTGTGTACCTCAAACAGATTTTATTCATCCATGTTTTCTAAATAAAGACTATCATTCAAGATTAATACCTGGGGTTGTGTTCACATTTTACTCTTGCAAAATATAAAATTCAAATGTGATATAGGGCTTATGGTTATGTTGAAAGATTCCCCAGAGCCTCTCTGTAGTGCCTGAGAAGGGAATTTCTTAAGTCAGGCTGTGGGAACACCCGAATTCCTATAGTCTATTTTCTTCTATCACTGGAAGTCACCCCACAGTGTATGAGAATCAGAAAAAGCCACTACTTTATAAGATTGGATGATTGATAGAGATTAATCAGTATAACTTTGAGATTAAAGACAGAGTGACTGATAGATTAATCATTGTAATCATTGTAGCGTTGAGTTGAATTGTGTAACTTAGAACTTCTGCCTCTTTAGCAATGATATCCATTTGCCTGTGTCTCCTGGACCTAAGTTTTAGGACCCAGGTCTGTCAATAAATGTGAGCTTCCTGTCTTTTGAACAGAATGTTAAAAAGTTGAACCAGTGGCTCACACAGTTCATATCCTAACCCTGTCAAATTCTACTCATATGATATGTATGGTTTACATAATTTCTTATATAAGAATGCTCTCTTTTCTTAATGATGAAAATGGGGAAATATAACTATTTCATAGGTATAAGAAATAATATTGTGAACTCTTTTTCCTGACTTTATGTGCATCACCTTTATAATTACAATAAAAAATTGGAAAAAAAAAGTTCAACCAGAAGTGACACTATAAATATAATAGGGCAACTCCAAGTTTTGGAGGTATAATTTCTTCTAAAACTTACAGTTCATGACTTACTATTGAAATGTACTTAGTATAATGAAATAACACTCCAATTCTGTGAGGAGTGACAGTTGCCTTACGTATAGAAAAGGTAATAAGAGGTCTAAACCACAGGTTTTAGTGTAGGTATGAATTTAATCTTAGAAATAGCATTTTTATGTTACTACAATTGAGTTTTAGAGAATCTTAATTTTTTTTCTTCTGATTATAAAATTATAATGCTTACTGCAGATAATTTTTGGGAAATAATAGAAGACTAGAAAGACAGTAGCAAGCACTTGAATTATATCATGCAGGGATAGACCTGTGATTCTTACGGTCTGTTTAGTTCTTTCTTACCTTTGATTTCTCAGCTGTATGGTGCAGACAAAAGAATGACAATAACTACTAAGCAACCACTAGCTCTTGTACCCTCTGGATGCATGACCACGATCTTCCCTAATATCTGCATCTCAATCCCCTAGTTTTTTCAAGAAACTTCATTGTCTCACATTTGTCTACTCCCTTTCTACCTATTTTATTTCCTCTGTACAGGATGCTACCTGCAGTGGTGGTTTTCTTTTAAGCTTCTACTGTCTTCCATTCTCCTTGCTCAGGTCATGTCCCCTGATGTTGCAAAGTCTATTCTGTCTGACTTACCCTGGGTTGCCTCTAATCCTCACAATGCTCAGTCCAGGCAGTGCTCTGCTCAGAAGTGGAGCACTCACCCTTGTCATTTTGCGTCACACATGGATGTCCCCAGGTTGATGATGTAAAGCTTTCTAGGAGTTTACTGGCTGGTACTGACATAGACAACATAATGCCCTTCCCTAGGGACCACTAGCCAGAATCCCAGGCACATTCCATTGGCAATTCCTGGACACCTCTGAATCTCTTTTCAGGATCAGCTTGGAGACACTTCTCTATCCTTATTTACTCATTCTTTTAATTGTTATTGTAAAGGTGAGGTATAAAGGGGTTACAGTTATATAAGTCAGTACATTTCTTTTTGGATAATGTCACCCCCTCCTTCTCTCTCTCCCAGTTTATTCATTCTTGAACAAAAGTGGCAATTAGGATCTAGGCTCTAGAGTCTCTACTTTTTTTTTTTCCTAGTACCAAGGCTTGAACTTTGGGCCTTACCCTCTCACTTAGCACTGATATTCTGCCAGTTGAGCCGTGCCTCCAGTCTAGCTTTTTTGCTGATCAATGGAGATAATCTTGTGGATTTTTCTGCCTGGGTTGGAGTCTAACCACAGTCCTCACATTTCAGCCTGAGTAGCTGAATTATAAGGATTATAGGGGTGGGCCACCAGTGCCTGCTTGGAGTCACCGTTTCATTGATTGAGGGAGTGTCCAGGCTCCTATTCCCCATGCAGATAGTTCTTGGATGGATGGTTAAATGGTCAGATGACTTGGGTTCACAGGGCAGATGATGGATTCATTACTCTGTGACCTTGGGTGTCACCAGAAAAACAAGCCTTAGTTTCCTCTCCTGTAAAGTGGTGTTCATATCTGCAGGAGTGATTGTTAAGTTTCAATACGATAAAGTTGTTGACTTTGAAGGCAATGGTACTGGGGTTTGAACTCGGGGCTTAGCATTTGCTAGGGAGATGATAGCCTACTGCTGAGCTAAGCCTCCAGCTCTGGTGAATTTTTTCCACTGCTTATATATGCTATTTTTGATAATGCAGCAATGCTGTATGAGGATTTGCTTGTGTTAGTAATTAAAAAAATGATTTTAAATTGGATGCTTGTGACTCATGCCTGCAATCTTATCTTACTTAGGAGTCTGAGAATGAAAGGATAATGGTTTGAGGGCAGTCCCCACTGAAAAATTCAAGAGATCCCTTGATTGCTGGGAATAGTGGCACACCTGTCTTCTTAAGCTAAGCGGGAGGCTGAGATTGGGAGGATCAGAGTTTGAGGCCAATGTGGGCAGGAAAAAACTCCTCAGTTCTTAGCTGAGTGCAGTGGTGCAGACTTGGTCATCCTAGCTATGAGGGGAAACCTCAGATAAGTAGATCTCTGTCCAGCCATGTGCCAAAGCAGGAAAATAATTGGAAATTTCATAAGCTCTCGGAAACCTGGGTATCTGCTTTTCCTAAAGACATGCATTCTCATAATGCAGCTGATTAAAATGAATCTGAGAACTTGTTAGGAATTTGATTGTAAAATAGAATATAGCTTGCACTGTGGAAGAATTAAACATTAGAAAATCTATGGTGTCTCTCAGTGTAATCCAAGCTTTTAATAATAGTGTTCTAATTGAACTGATTAGAATTTGATAACTCACATTCCTTAATTTTTAAAATTACTGAACTCTGCTTTTCATTATGAATGATGGAAGGAATTTATTTTGCAGTATGAATCCCAGTTTATAATTGGGACTGTCTAGAGCTAAGGGAGAAAAAAAAAGAGCAAAACTGTGTGTGACACATCATTCTTATGGGGCTCTTGGCCACAGTTCCTACTCACAGTTGTGTTTTTCTGTATAAGTTTTAAACTGCAGTATCTTCAATTATTTATCTTATTGTTATGTTTATGAATCAGCTTATCAGTTTTGAATGTCTATGACCTGAATTCAGTGTCTGCTGCACTGTGGATAATCCTGGCTTAGGAGTGTGTAAGCTTGGTTTCAAGTGAAAAACTTTCCCAAGGGGTTGTTTATATATAAAATTCAACTAACTAGTGCTCATTTAATGAAAAACATGTGTGATTCTAAGCTGTATGTCCAGAGCTTCTCTGTCTTGGAACCATTCATATTATAACTTTGCTCATTCGTTGTCATGCAGACAAACTATCACTACCTGTCAGCATTTTAGACTACTGAAAAGTGTCCCTAAATATTGTCACATGTTATCTCCTGGTTAGCAAAGATGTCCTTAGTTGAGAACCACTACTGTAGTTAACAGGAGTTGTTAGCAGGATTTTTATCATTTATGTACTTCAATATCTAGGTGCGAAGTCCAAAAATAACTGTAGAGAGAAGCAGGGTGTGGAAACAATTTAATTAAACTCTGGTAATTCAGGTGCCAACACTGTGCTATTGTGTGTCGTGTGCGTGCGTGCGTGCATGTGTGTGTATCTAGGTACTCAAATCTTAGGATCTATGATCTCTAGTGTTGTAGAGCTTTATGTTTGCTCATATTTCAAGAGATGACTTGGAGAATTCCCTGATTTGTTTTGTGTGAAAATAGACTGGTTTTTTGGAATTAGCATCTTTGGAAAGCTTCCTGGACAGTGTAGATTGTCTTTAGGTATTCCCAGGACTGACTCATATTGTGTAAGAGACTGTTGTGCAAAAGTCCTTCATCACTCGGTGGAGTAAGTTCCTAGTTTTATTGTTGTGGTTCCTTCATTTTTGTAACTTGTATGCTTCTTTTTTTTTTTTCTTCTTCTTTTGGTCCGTCGTGGGGCTGAACTCTGGGCCTGGGCACTGTCCCTCAGCTCTTCAGCTGTAGACTAGCGCTCTACCACTTGAGCCTCAGTCCCACTTCTGGCTTTTTCTGCTTATGTGGTGCTGAGGAATCGAACTGAGGGCCTTATGCATGCAAGACAAGCACTCTACCACTGAGCCACCTTCCCAGCACTGTGTATGCTTCGTTATAGCAAGAGTTTTTCTGATTGTAAGCTGTCCTTACGGTCTTTTTCATAAGTTGTATACATTGCCTATGCCCTGGGGGGTTTGGTTAGAAGAGATGGGTGTCACAGGGGATCAGAGGAGAACATTGTCAGAGTGTTTAGTCTGTTCATGCTTAGGGTTGATTGTCAGCATTCCACAAGTTACAGAAATGGAAAAATATTTAAGAAGAAAATACTCGGTCACAAGTAGGATGGCTAGAATTCTTGCTACTGAACAATTTAATACATTTTGCCACTTAGATTTTCTAAAGTGAAAATGACAAACAGCTCATTTCTTTGTATAAAAAGTAATCATCAAGTATTACGTTAGAATTTCCTGTTACTATCACCTAATTTTTTTCTTTTTTTTATTGTGAAAATACTGTACAGAGGGGTTACAATGATATGGGCAAAATAATAAGTACCTTTCTTATCAAGCATTGTAGCCTCCTCCTTTGTTTCCCCTTCCCATCCCTTCCCATCCCCCCCCAATCCTCTTCCCCTCCTCCCCCCCATATCACCTAATTTTTAAATTAAAGATGACTCATGAATTTTGGGTAGCCCCTTCTCTGGATTCTTCTTATTTATATGCTTAAAAATTACATTTAACTTTATTTACTAATTTATTGAGAATGAGTCTATCATTGGGACTGAATAACACCCTGGAACATATGTAAAGTGAATACTGAGATCTATGTTAGCATCAGTCCTTGTACTTTAGTTCTCCACAGATTGGCATGTGGTGCCTACTGAATAATTTTGCCTTCAACACAGTCACTACCCAGGTTCTGGGGCCAACTGTCTTTATTGGGGGATGGGACCTACTGGCCTCAAATGGGGAGTTCTGGAAACAGGTGATTGAGCTGGGGGGTGACTTGGAAAGATGTTGATTTCTGGGCTGGAATGATTGGTGCACAGATCAGGCTGGGCAGCAACAGGGAAGGTCCAGGTATGGGGAGAGCCAGAGCTCTTCCAGCATCTACTAGGGCACTGGAGAAGGAGTGTGGTGTGATAGTGTGTGTGGGTGGAAGTTGCTCATCTTCAGGGTTGTGGTTATGGCCTGCAGGTTGACTGCTTACTCTTCTGGAATGTAGAACTTCCTTTGTGCCCCATGGTTCTAGAAATCACAAAGTAATGAGTATACAGAATGAAGAAGACTTAAAAAGAATATAAAGGGAAGGATTCGAAAGGTAAAGAGAAAGCTGAAAAAACAAAGGCTGGAATAAAAGGTTGGGTAAGAGAAAATAGTTACATTAATACCTGTATAATAACCCTGTAAAGTAGGTAAAATAAGTATTTAACATAAATTAAAGTAGAACTTCTTAGATGAAAAAAGAACCTAGCAAGAAAAAAGAATAAAAGTTGGAATTTTTAAAGAGAGCTGTGGACTTAATTTTTTTAAAGACAAATATAAAACCTTTGTCAGCCTCCCAGCACTTGGTATTTATTTTTATAGCATCTTTCACAGCTGTAATTAAGTATTTGTAAGGGCAAGTCTTGCTCCTGGCCTAGTTTGTAAGCTGTGATGCAGTGAACGTGGCTTTTCTACCGCATCCCCTCAGACCCTGGCAACTCTGTACAGCAAACTCAAAGTTTAGGCCATGGTAAAAAGCTTAAAAGAAATACAAGCTTTTACAAAGAAGATAAACTGAAGACGACCATGAAATAATTAAGGAATAGTTCAGCAGTAAGAAATTGTAGAGCAGTGTTGGGTTTGCTAAATTATAATAAAACATTTAAGAGGAAAAGTGATAGAATGCTTGCCTAGTATGCATGAAGCCCTGGGTTCGATTCCTTAATACCACATAAACAGAAAAAGCCAGAAGTGGCGCTGTAGCTCAAGTGGTAGAGTGCTAGCCTTGAGCAAAAAAGAAGCTCAAAGACAGTGCCCAGGCCCTGAGTTCAAGCTCAGGACTGGCCAAAAAAACAAAATCAGAGTTGAGGTGATACAGCCAGAGACCCTGCTCTGAGATCTCCTTATTACTGAGTGCTCCTGGGATCCCAAACTTTTCAACTGAGGTGCAGTTCATGTAATAAAAATCCCAGCTCTTTGATTTTTCAAGTGGCATATAGAATTCATGGAGCCTTACCTTTATCTAATTCCAATACACTTTATGACGCCACAGTAAAACTCAGGATCCTTAGGTGCATACTCCCTCCTGCCCATCTCCCTGTCTTGACAACCATAGTTCTGCTTTCTGTCTTCCAGCTTTCTTTCTTTCTTTTTTTGGGGGAGCGGGGGGGGGGCGGTCTGGTCGTGGGGCCTGAACTATGGGCCTGGGTGCTATCCCTCAGCTTTTCAGCTCAAGGCTAGCACTTTACCACTTGAGACACAGCGCCACTTCCAGCTTTTTTTTCTGCTTATGTGGTGCTGAGGAATCGAATACAGGGCCTCAAGCTTGCAAGGCAAGCTCTCTACCACTGAGCCTCCTTCCCAGCACCTTCCAGCTTTCTTTTATACTCTTCTCTGGACCCCATTTTATCTGGGCCTGTTGGGAGGGATGTGCTGTGGTGACAAGAAACATTTGGGCTTTGGAGTCTCAGCACTGGAACTGTACCTAGGTAGTGTTGGAACTCTACATTTATTTCTTTAATAACATTTCAGAGACTAAGTATTAATAGTTTTGGTATGCATAGTTTGTTTTAAATTTTGTAATTCTTAATTAGTTTCTATCCTAGAATTGTATAAAATTGTTAGTTACATTAGATGATACTAAAATAATCAGAAATTTCAGTGTTATTTGCACATACAAACATTTGTGCCTCTTTACCTTACAACAAGGTTACTCAGCCATCATATGATTGACATATTAGACCAGACAATCCTCCTGTACATTGTAGAATGGTTAGGCTTCATTTACGAGGCATCAGCAGCAGTTTTCTCTCCCCCCCCCCTTTACTTCCTCCCCCGCCCCCAGGTGTAAAAACAAAAATATTTCTGATACTGCAACATGTCTTCTGTTAGAAATTGCTCATAATTGACAAATGCTGATTAAAAATCTTCCATGTGGCCGGGTGCTGGTGGCTCACACCTGTAATCCTAGCTATTCAGGAGGCTGAGACCTGAGGAACACAGTTTGAAGCCAGTCCAGGCAGAGAAGGCCCTTTGAAACCTTTACCTCCAAGTAACCACTCAGAGCCCAGAAGTGGTGCTGTGGCTCAAAGTGGTAGAGTGCTAGCCTTGAGCAGAAGAGCTCAGGGACAGTATTCAGACCCCAAGTTGAAGCCCCACAACTGAAAGAAAAAAAAGTTTCCTGTTGAGGAGTTGCTGTGTCTTCTATCCTAAGACATTGAATATGTTGTGTAGTAGAAGTTAGCAGAAAGGAGACTTGCTCCATCACCTGTGGAACTAGTCATTCTCAGATTTTTACATTTATCCCTCAGACTATTACACTGTACCTACTCCTTAAATATTTGTAATTTTAGTTTTAAGTTTTGAATGTTTAACAGTACTCTTTCACTTGAACCATTCTTTGATTATGCTATGCTAAAGGAATCCAAGTTGGTTGCCTAACAGGAAGTAATTTTGTGGAAAAAGTAAACACAGAATTTGAGTGTGTTTTGAAATACTTGAAACATACAAATTATTTTAAGTCATAATGCAAAAATATTCAACAGTTGAAGGGGAGCAGTTTTTAAACCCAGATTTTTTTCCTTCGGTGTTAGAAAAACTTAGGATAATTGTCTCCTAGAAAGCCCACTTAACTTACTGCTAATAATTCTTTTTGTGTTTCCTGCTTTTTTAAAATTATTATTGTGAGAATACCATACAGAAGGGTTATAATTACATGGGCAAGTTAGTGAGTATGTGCTTCCTACTTATACTTTCTCAAGAGTGTAAAAGGCTCCTGTGTTTCTATTTAAAGCTTACTTCTTCTCAGCCATCACATGTTAAATAAACTACATTTAAAAAGCAACATTTTGTATGACCTAATATTTGTTTCAAAATAAATATGTAGCCTAAGTACTGTAATTCTTGTTATATATTCCGTGTCGATTTGAAAATAGCATTTTTTTAAAGCAATATCTTGCTGTGAGCTGAGTTTTGTAATTTGTTTGAGATTTGGAATATAATTGGGGACAGACTTGGGTGGTGGTGGGGGGGCTAAGACAGGTGGTGGTAGAGGCAAGCCAGAGGGGGAATTTAATGTACCATCACTAGATAGTTTCAGTTAAGGAGGGATTGAGAGACATTGGCTTTTTATTGAAATACTGAAAAGGCCATGGGAAGAAAGGCAGTTCTACTAGTAAAGCTCTGGCAGCCATTGCTACCTAGTAAAATTCAACTTCAGTTCATTGTGTCTGTATTTCATGCATTGAAGGAGATGAAGGCCATGACTATGTAGTTCTTTGTATCTGGGCCTTCCCTTAGGTACAGAAAGAACAGTATTAGCATAAGCTTTTATGAGACTACTGCTTCTCTTCCCTCATCCAGTAGGTTAATTATTTTTTTTCCCCCTTTAGGGACTATGTTAGGAGTGAACTGGAGTCTGCCTATGAAGGACCAATGTACTTAGAACCTCTCTCCATGAATCGCTTTACCACAGCCTTAATAGGTAGGTACTGTTAATCCAAATGTAAGTCGAGTCTAGCCAGTCTAACTGTCTTACAATGAAAGTGGTACTTAGGCTCTTGAAAATTATTCAAACACTGGAAATTTATTCATGGTGACTCTTTTCATGTTTTCTTCCTCTCCCCTTCCTTCTATCTCCCGTCCCCTTCCCTCCATCTCCCCTCCCCTCCTCCCTCACGTTCTCTCCTCTGTTCCCTTCCCTCTCTTCTCTTCTTCCTTTCCCTCCCTGCAGCATTCAGTGCTGGCTGTTGGAGTTGTTGTGGGTTTCTGTGGGCTGACTCAGGCCTACAGAACCTAAAGCTGCACAGTCACAAGCTCATCACGTGTGGCTGCTGAGCATCTGAAATGTGCTCCTTCCAAATTAAGATGCACTGCACATGCAGACTACACACCCAGTACCCACTTAGTTCAAAGCAGGGATGCAGAATGTCTTTTTAATTTTTTTAAGTATGTATTAAATATGGTTGATATTTGGAGCACACTTGATGATGTATTATCATGTATTAATGTTTACCTCTTTTTAACTTTTAAGATGAAACTACTATATATTTTAAGTATATATATATATATATATATATATATGTATGTGTATTTCATTATATTTCTCAAGTAATAAAGAGCTAGTGAAGGGCTGCCTTTTCTTCCCATGTCAGGTGATTCTAGAACACAAATGCCTGTAGGAGTTCCCATGTTAACTAATTTGTGAAGGCAAAGGAGTTTCCTGAAGGGTAGAAAGGAGTCTCAGAAACCACATGGGATTTTCTTAGGGCCTGTTCCAGAGGATCTCTAGAGTGAACCTGTGTTGAACTTTGAGATTCTCAGGAACTAAGAATAGAGCCAAAAGCAGCCAGTGGGAAGTACGTGCCAAGCACCAAGGATACTGCAGGGTAGAGAGCCAGGGTGATGGGGTTAGTCCTGGGAACCCATAAAAGTGCCCAGGGAAGGTTAGTTTTGCGTGTCTCATATCTAGAGAGCAGCAGTTCCACATTGTTGTGAGCATAGCCAAGTAGGAACTATCCTACGCCTACTCCCTTCTCCTTTCTGTGCCTGCTCTGGTCCTCGGTAAGCCCAGAGGAGAGGAAGATGTTCCTAAGAAAAAGGGAGAAGCCAGCCACAGTTGGCTTTCTCTTGTGTAGGTTTTCTGTCTGTAGTACAGTGCGGGAGGGAGGGGAGGGCCTCAGTGAGACATGTCTTAACTCCAAATTGGTTTCACAGTTTGGGTATTATTAGGGGAGCACTGTGAAACCAAAGCTAGACTTGCCTCAAATTGCATTAAGTGCAGAAGAACATACCTGCTTTCAGAAGATAGCTAACTTTCAGAAGATAGAGGGAGAAAAAGTGTTACTTTAAGACTCTGTCTTCTAAATTAGTGTGTCTAATAATGGTAATATTCTGTTGTAGAAATATTTGCTAGGTTAGAAAATTATAAAAAAAAATTTTGTGTGATGCACATACCTTTACACACATTCCTTAAATCTTAGTGGCTTGTAGCCACTTTTTACTGAGAGTCCTCTAATAAGGAAGTGAAATATCCATAAACTAATAAGTAACATTTTCTTCTTTGATTTTTAAGTATGTGCTCTTTTTTCTCTTCTATTTCAGTAATAAACTTTTCATGAAAACCAGAGTAATTAGAATATGTCATGATTTCTCAAGGTTGCACACTTCTTAGGGAAACTTAATAGTAGCTTCTGAAGCCATAGGGTATATTGTGACTTTGATTTATCCAGGATTACCAGTTGGGATAGGCACATTAGAAGCAAGCAGCTTGTTCTCTGGGAGCTGCAAGGGAGATTCCACCAGCAGTGACTAACACTGACAGTGTGATCCTTCCTTCTTTGACCTGCATAGAATGAGCAGTCCTCTCAAAGAGAGTATGTCCTGTGAGTCATGTTCTTCATAAAGAAGATAAATGGACCCTGTAATACCAGAACTGAGCTCTGCCTTTGCTGGCTGGCATAGATTTCTGGGAATTTGAGAGTTTAGAGGAAGTTTATGTCATGAGGAATAAGGAAATTTTAAGTGCCAAAGCTCTGAGCACAAGAAAGTAAGATTGCCAAAATGGGTTTCCTTTGAGCCTTTCAAAGAAATATGTTTGTGTTTATTCACCAAAACCACTACAATTTTATGATGGAATCACTTTCTTTTTTTATAGTCCAGGACAGGTAAAAATGGAGTGTCTTTGCAGAAGAGCTGCATGGGAACAGTAGCAACTGAGTTACTATAAATGAATCAGACATTTAAAAAATACTTTTCTCCATGTTAGATCTGCTGTTAGAAATGTGATGAAGGTTGGTGCAGATTTATGCTGCTGTTTTCGAATCATGCTGAAGAAATAGTAGTCAGATTTACAGAATTCTTCACACTGAAAGTTATCTATCAGACAGAAACACAGATCTCCCAGTGTACTGTCTGGGAGGTCTCTGTCTCAGCAAAGGCTGAGAAGAGAGGGGAGACACAAATAGGAAGCCTGCGGTGTTGGCAAGGGCAGTGTGAGCACTGGATCTAAAGGAAACCCATTGCATTACAACGCACAACTGTCTAACTCTCCAGAGCAAATAAATAGCAAAGCAAGGGAAAGAGCGATAGTCACAGCAGCACTACAGTCATGAGAAATGTCAGGATTTGGTCTTGAGGTATTTGATTCTTTATTATTTTTGCCTTCATTACAGTAGTGAACCCAAAATGAATGCCATGTGCCTGGTACTCAGCTCATTTAAGTCTCACAGCACCCTTGGAGGAACAGTGTTCTTAGCACCACTTTCCAGAAAGCCAGGGATTTTTTTGTTTTGTTTTGTTCCAAAACCTTAAAATTTGAGGTAAAATATTATCCAAAAGATCTTGGACCCTTTCAGAAACTCATCCTCCTGATCAGCAGTGATTTTTGTTAGAATTTGTGGCTTCTGCATGCTGGTAGAGGATGCATTGTGAATGCCTCTCCTTCCTTGTTCCAGGTCAGCTGGTGGTGTGCACTCTTTGCTCCTGTGTCATGAAGACCAAGCAGATCTGGCTCTTCTCTGCTCACATGCTTCCTTTGCTTGCTCGGCTCTGCCTCGTTCCTCTGGAAACCATTGTGATCATCAACAAGTTTGCTATGATTTTCACTGGATTGGAAGTTCTCTATTTTCTTGGGTCCAACCTTTTAGTACCATACAACCTTGCTAAGTCTGCATACAGGGAATTGGTTCAGGTAAGACTGACCAAACACACACAGGTGGGCCGAATCCTACATGAATATTTAAGACCTAGTAGTCATAGTTTGGTACCATTCTTTATTACAGCTAGAAATAGCAAGTATTTTCAGCCCAATTAGGAGCATATGAGATTCTTTCCTAGGAAGTCCTGTTGAAAGAAGGTGAGGTGGTAATTTTCTGGGAGCATATCCTAAAGCTGAGGTTTGTAGCTGTGTGACCTTCGGACTACTACTTGTCTGGACTTTCTGGAAAGGGGAGCTAAGAAGAACGCTTCCTCCTAGGGTGCTTTGAGACTTAAATGAGCTGAGTGCCAGGCACATGGCATTCATTTTGGGTTCACTACTGTAATGAAGGCAAAAATAATAAAGAATCAAATACCTCAAGACCAAATCCTGACATTTCTCATGACTGTAGTGCTGCTGTGACTATCGCTCTTTCCCTTGCTTTGCTATTTATTTGCTCTGGAGAGTTAGACAGTTGTGCGTTGTAATGCAATGGGTTTCCTTTAGATCCAGTGCTCACACTGCCCTTGCCAACACCGCAGGCTTCCTATTTGTGTCTCCCCTCTCTTCTCAGCCTTTGCTGAGACAGAGACCTCCCAGACAGTTCACTGGGAGATAAGTGTTTCTGTTTGATTTGATGGATAATTTTCAGTGTGAAGTTCATCTTCAGGTCTTTTCTTTTGTATATTGGCTGTGTGTTTGGGACCTTAAGGAACAGGAATCTCTCAGATCTCCAGATTCTTCCTGGGAGAGATGTTCTTGTCTGCCCCTAGGCAGATCTTGGAGAATAGTTTCTGAATTTTGTGTCTTGGCATTCTTTGTGAGAATGAGAAATTTATCTTCCTCTTATAGAAATCTCCTAGTCTATAACAAATAGTAAATATTTAGTAAACCTTTATTGATAATATCCAATATTTTGAAAGTATTTAATTGCCATGAGACAGTCTTCCAGTTTTTCAAGTTCTTAACTGCCTTTGCTGCCGTAATATTGATGTATCATAGGTGTAACCGTTGGAAATAAATGATAAGCTGGGTAGTTTGTGAATTTGGAAGAATTGAATATGTAAGAAGTGAAAACTGCCAGACTTTTCAGTGGACTGCTCCTTGAAAACATATTCTCCACCTTTCAGTAATCAGTGTACCTCTGATTATAATTTTGCAACTTTATTTTAGCAGTCTTTGTGGTGCACATACATCATGATGTCAGAACTCGGGAGGTTGAGGCAGGAGGACTGCGGGCGTGAGACAGCCTGCGCTTATATTGTGAGACACAAAAATGGTTACAGCTATTTGAGAAACTCCTTGAAAAAATTTCAGTTTTAATTGTGACTACATTGTAGAAAAGGCATTTATTTTACTGAAGAAAAGATTTTAGAGTTGGAATAAATCTTGAGGCATATGCATTTTAGGTTAACACTTAAGTTCTGTATACCATATTAAGTCATCTGTATTAAGTCCGTGGAGAGAGCACGATGGTGGTGGTGGTGGCTGACCTGCTGGGCTAGGGATTTGAAGCTGCCTCGTGGGGCCCGGCTAGCTTGGCAGAGTCGGTTCCCTGGCTTAGAAGCTGCATAAACTCGGTTACATTGATGATCTTAGGTCAAAACAGATTCTGGGAATTGATTCTTGCTAATCAGTTTCATGAGTGATTGTTTCATAAAAACTGGAAGGCTAATTTATTGAGTTACAATAGAATAGTAAGCTTTTTAAGACGTGTGCCTTGTTCCTAGTGTTAGTGTGCTAAATAAATTGAAAAGTTTCTTGATGAGTATAGTAGGAGCAAGAGAATTGATTTGTTTGGGGGAAAATACTTGCTAACTGTCTTTGCTCTACAGTGCTGTACATTTCTCCAGTGGTTAATTAACTCAGTCTTCCATTAAACTACTTCACATCTGTGAATAAGCCAGGAGTGGCATTACATGCTTGTGTATTAGCTACTCTGGAGGCTGTAGGTAGGAGTATTGTGGTCTGAGGCTGGCCCCAGGCAAAACCATGAGACCCTACCAGAAAAATAACCAAAAAGCAGAAAGGGCTGGAGTTAAACTTCAAGTAGCTTAGCAACTGCCAGGCCCTGATTTCAAACCCCAGAACCATAAAATAAAGAAAAAATTCTTTTCCATTTCCCTTTTTCCTATCCTTTTGCTCACTATTGTATTATTCAAGCTGGTCCTGATTATTTTGGTTAGACAGAAACGTTAACTAAATCTCCAAGTACATTAGAGGTAGTTGTCTTCTTAATCCAACCTTAGTCTGACATGACTGAACTACTGTTCCCTGCTTATGTGGTATATCAAGTGCTAATAATAATGTAAAATTCAGTACATTTTTCTTAAAATGGCAGCGACTGCTATGTGTAGATCTAACTTTAAAGAAACTAAGCAAGAGAAAGCAACACTTTAATTAATGTTTGCTTTAGATTAAACTGGCTAATGCCTGGAACTGTCCACCAAAGGTGACAGGATGTCTTCTGTCTTGTTTTCTCACTCAGGTAGTGGAGGTATATGGCCTTCTTGCCCTGGGGATGTCCTTGTGGAACCAGCTGGTCGTCCCTGTGCTTTTCATGGTTTTCTGGCTTGTCTTATTTGCTCTTCAGATTTACTCCTATTTCAGCACCCGAGATCAGCCTGCATCACGGGAGAGACTGCTTTTCCTTTTTCTGACAAGGTAATTTACAAGAGCCTGTGGTACTATATATAACCTTGAAGAGAAACCTTGATCCAGAATAGTAAGTTTCGCACATTTTATTAGTCACTTCACCACTTCATAGTTCATCAAGTCAGATTGCCACACAGTGGGGACTTGGGTCTGACAGTGCAGAGATATGCTAATGGAAGCATGGCAGGTGCGTTTGGTTCACTGGGGACCCAGGACAGCCAATGATACATAAAAAGGACACAGCAGAGTTTAAAAGTACTTCTTAAATTTTGCAGTAAAAGATTGAGTAAGAGGAAAAATACATTATAGAAATCCTATTGTGCATTAAGTCTTTAGTACATTGTTGAACTACTGAACTCTCCTTACATTGCAAATCCTAGCACCCGTAAGAGAAAAGAGGCACCTTTGTAGCTGAGGGAATGTACCAAGAGAAACTTTGCCTAGGCACATGATCACATGAGCCAGGGTGGTCTGACCCTTACAACCTCCCAAACCTCAGGACTTCCTCTGTGACTTCACTGTACTTTCAGATATTCAGTGCTTGGCTTCAGTTCAGAGATTAAGTAAATAGGTTACACTTTACTGTTCAAGCCAAAAGAGAGAGGGGATTTTTAAGACCTCATTGATTTTTTATTATGTATATCATTTGAGTCCTTTTCTCATTTTTACTGTAAGCTCAGGTAGGCCTGCATTTGTCATTTATTCCACCCCCAGTATGAATCTCAGGCCCTCAGAATCTTGGTTACCTTGCTCCTTGTCACTTTGGCAGGCAAGAAGGAAAACCCTGGAGGTGGGGGAGGCTCTGGAGGCTTGAGATCCAGGTGGAGGGGCCTCTGCTTCTCAGTGTCTAATGTGAAGGATGGAGGGAGGGGTATGTTAAGGCCAAGTTGCAGCCCTGAAGCAGCATGCTGCTTGCTGAGATGGAGTAAGTCGACATGGAGGCGAATGTCCACACATTTGGAATATCTGAAAACATGACAGGCAATACCTATTTTGACAGTTAGGATAAACCCATTGGTACCAAGTCAGATTTTAAATTTATGAAAATGAGTAACTTGTTTAATTATAAATGGCTTCTAATTATAAATGCAATAAGTTTTTGTCAGCAAAGTCAGCATCATTTTAGCAGTCAGTTCAATATTAAATAACTAATGTTTTAATGTAAATATTACGGAGATTTTGTGCAGAAGTTTTAAATTTGAAGAGGAAGATGCACAGCTGTGTGGTTGCCTTAATGCAGTGTGGGACAGGAGTGGGTCCCTCCTTGCACCTCATGTTAGCCATTCAAACGTGCAGTCAGGTTAGGTGGAGTCAGTGTTTAATAGGCTTATCAAGTTACCAAACTAGGAGTGAATTTTGGACTTATTTACAAAAGAAAATAACAGATTGGTGGTATTTTCTATTTTTTTTTCTATTTTTCCTACTCATGGCCAGGAGAGATGACCCTTTCATTAATTGAAGACTTACTATATGGTTCTTCATTACCCAGTGTCACTGTAATTCTTACTGAATTTTGGCCTTTTCTAATGGGAATCAAGCTTTTATATTTGGGATTGTAGGTGTGGATCAGTTGGTAAAATGCCTATAGCAAAAGCATTAGGTACTAAGTTTGAATCCTTGTCTCAGGAAGAATAAAAGTTATAGACAATTTGAACGTTGTATTATATAATAATTTACATGTGTGTACAGCACACAATTGAGTCAGTAATCATTCACTAGTACATGGTAGCACACATATTTAAAGCATAATATGAGTTAATGTCTGCGTGTTGACTGAAAGTAGTTTAAGATCTAAGGGGTCTTCCAGTTATCTTTAGGAATAGACTTTTTATAGTTATCTATAAAAACAAACTTTTACATTTAAGTTTTTTTTTTTTTTTTTTTTTATTGGTCATAGGGCTTGCTTGAACTTAGGGACCTGAGCACTGTCCCTGAGCTTTTGGACTCAAGGCTAACACTCTCCACTTTGAGCCACAGCACCACTTCAGGTTTTCTGGTAGTTAATTGGAGATAAGAGTCTTACCAACTTTCCTGCCAGGGCTGGCTTCAAACCACAATCCTCAGATGTCAGCCTCCTATGTAGCTAGGATTACCGCATGAGCCACTAGTTCCTGGCTTAAAGGTTGATTTTTATTTACAAAATTAAAACTGTCTTTAAACAGGTTTGGACTGTACCTCAGTCTTGCTTGTGAGGTAACCCATGAAGAAATCATTTATCTGAGTGTGAATGAAATGGAAGTGTAATGCTGTTTGTGAGTGGAGGGTTTCTGGTAGGGAGGCCCTCCCCTGGACTCTATGGCCTAATGAGGGCTAGAATAAGCAGCAAGATTAGTAGTACAGTCAGACAAGGAGAACAGTCAACTTCTTTTCAGAGCAAATCACATAGGTTTCTCCTTCATATTTACCCACCTGCTAATTATATGTTGTTTGAGGTTTGAACTAGATTTAAGCTCTGAATTTTACTGCATTTGAAGATGGCAGATAGTTAAAAAATAAAGTGTTGTTTCAGTAATTATTCTATGTGCTAGATATTTGCCATAGAAGTAGAAACATAGAGTTTTGAATAATAGCATGGCTCTTGGCATGATTGGATAATTTTCTCTCAGGTTTTGGTTTGAAATGATTTAAAGCTTGGTATGGAGACTTGAAATGTTTTTATTCCAAATGGGATGTCTGTTGATTCCCCCTCTTTTTCAGCATCGCCGAGTGCTGCAGCACCCCCTACTCCCTGCTGGGCCTGGTCTTTACGGTCTCATTTGTTGCCTTGGGCGTCCTCACCCTCTGCAAGTTCTACCTGCAGGGTTATCGGGCTTTCGTGAACGATCCTGCCATGAATAGGTAAGTCCTTTACTGGATGCATGGAAATCCAGCAGACAGCTTGAAGATACAATGATGAATGTTTTTGTTGATGAATTTAATTAGGAAATTTCCAGTCTTACGTCCTACCTGCTTTATCATCCCTCTCTTATCCTCAATCAAGCCACAACACTTGGAAGAAATCCCAGATACCTTTTACTCTATAAATATTTTAATCTGTAAATTTTTTAAAAAGCATTCCTGATCCACTAATTCTTTGATATTATATATCCAGTTGTTACTTTTCCCTGCTTAATTTTCTGTCACTTTGCTCAACTAGGATCCAGGTAAGACCCACAGTATGTTGGTCGCCGTGTCTTCTGAGACTCCTAGATAGGATGAATCCCCTCTAGTTCTGTGCTTCCCCTGCTGTTACTGATTGGGAGACTGGAGTTTTTCTGTCTGGATTTTGCAAAGTGCTCCCATGGTATCAAAAAATAGCTCCCACCTTTTTTTGTTTTTGTGCTGGTAATATGAGCCTTGAACTCTGGGCCTGGGCATTGTCCCTTTTCTTTTTTCTCAAGGCTGACTACCTCTTGAACCACACATCCACTTCTGGTATTTTGGTAATTAATTGTAAATAATTTTTCTGCCCAATCTGGCATTGAACCCCAGTCCTCGGATCTCAGCATCTTGAGTAGCTATTATTACAGGTGTGAGCCTGTGGCTTTGAATATCCAGACATTGAGTTATTACCAGTAGGATTATTAAAGACTTTTATCTGTGCATCTCACTATTAGGGATGCCCATTTTCTCTTATGGTCTTCTACAATACACCATGTTACCAAAATATCTGTGAACATAGAATTTTAAAAACTTGCCAATCTTAGCTAATGTTTTATTTGTGTGTGTGCAGGTTCTTTATAAATCAAGCCAATAGATTAAATGTGTATGACTTTATATTTTTCATGAAAATTAAATTTCAATAAATAAACACAAATATCTTGTGTCTACTGGTTCTTACGGTATTTTTAAAGAGATGCTTTCTTCCCTAAGCCTATGACAATGTGGCCCATATTATATCTTTTGCATAATCAGAATATAATGATGGGGTAGGTAAATAGGTAAAATCCCTTGGATATCTGAGAATAGCAGAAGTACCTGGCTCATTACACATGGTGCACTAATCTAACAGCATGTTCTTGCGTGTGTGTGTGGGGGGGGGTGTGGGTGTGTGGGTATGGCTGCCTATCAACACACCCATGTTATAGGACGGGAAGTTACCCAGCAGACCAAGCAGGATTTTAGCCTTGTCAGAATTGCTTTAAATATATATCTGCAGTATTAGTCTTCAGAAAGAGAATTCAAGAATTTCTGAAAGTGATTTTCTTCTAGGGGGATGACTGAAGGCGTGACCCTGTTAATCCTGGCCGTGCAGACAGGGCTGATCGAGCTGCAGGTGGTACACCGCGCCTTCCTCCTCAGTATCATCCTCTTCATTGTTGTGGCCTCCATACTGCAGTCCATGTTGGAGATCGCAGATCCCATTGTTCTGGCACTCGGAGCGTCTCGAGACAAGTAAGAACCTTCTGGATGTTCTTGAACTTCATTTAATTGATGTTAATACCCTTTTCACAAATTTATTATCTAAGGTTTAGGCAGTGTTTATAAAGATGGACACGGTGTGGATCATTGCTATTAGTAAATTAATTCTCAACAAATTTGTATTTTAATTTCCTATTAACGAAATGTTTGGCTTTTCTGCTCTGGTTTCTTCCTTGGAATTTCTATACTTACAAGTCACATATGAGGCTATAAATTATCTCTTCTTCGGAGAAGTTTAGCACATTTTATGTTGGTTCAGTTTCAGAAACAAGGATTGTACTTAATCCAGTAAACATATCAAATGATACTTAATTCTGTTCTGTTTTTAAATACTGGTTAAAAGGAAAGACATTAAGATAAATGAAAATGAAGAAAAGGAAGTTTGAGGGCTGGCAGAGTACCCGAAAGAGTGGGTTTGTGGAACAGCTGCCTAATTTGATGGCTTTTTAGAAAGCTGTGGCCTGTTGAGGTTTACGATGAAGATCTCTGATGAACTCTGGGATCATACAAGATTAGTAGCTAGGTCCAAGCACACATGGCTTTACAGAGATGGTTTTAAGGAATAAAAACTCAAATGATTTCTTCTTTAATGATACTATTTTGAGGATATGAATGTCATCTGGCTATATCTGATACCCAGTTGATGGTTAAGGTTGATGGGGCTAATCAGTCTGTACGCCGATCCTCCCATATCCTACAGCTGTGCACTTATAGACATCCTTTCCATTTCCAGATGATCTTTCTGAGGTAAAGGGTATTCATGTAGCTGTGTTCTTTTTCTAGACCCTCTAAACAAACAAGATACTGGTTTTTGTTTTTGTTGTTTTGTTTTGTGCTGATTAGGATTTGAATTCAGGGCCTCAAACTCTCAAGGTACTGTATTTTGTGTGATCTGATACTGGGGCTTCAATTCAGGGCTAGGATTTGAATTGAGGGCCTCAAACTCTCAAGGTACTGTATTGTTTTGTGTGATCTGATACTGGGGCTTCAACTCAGGGCTTCACACTCTCAAGATACTATTTGGATACTACACCTATCTAGCAAGCGAGTATAAAGCCCTAAGTCTACACTACTAAAACAAAACAAAAACTATTTTGAGGACTCAGGTAGTAGACCTTATGCCTAGAATGCATATGACCTTAATTTTAATCTCCAGCACCAGAGAAATATAGCACTTAAAAATGAACTACCAAAAATCTTATAATATTGCAGCTTATTGTCATTTTTGTAAAGTACTTATTAAGGAATGCCTGAAAATCCAGTGTCACCACGTTTTCCTGTTTTCTGTCCACATTGTGATTATTGTTATTGAAAAACACTGGGTTATTGCTTAGTGTAGGAAATAGAATTGTGAGAGCAGAGTACAGAACATTCTAAATTAGCATTTTATTTCTAGGTCATCCAGTTTGTTTTGTATTCCTAAAATCCACAATGCCAGACATGACTTTCTCTAGCAGTAGGGTGGCTGAAAGAGTTACTTTAAATAAGCCTTTGGATATGTTTCAGATATTCTTAATCACCATAATTAATTATGGTTATTTGAATTTAGGGAACTAAGGTTTCTCCATGGAAGCATTTGAGATGTTGAACTTAGGGTGAGCTCAGACAAATAGATCTGAAAGTGCCTTTTCTCGTGGGGAATCATGATTGAAATATGGCCAGTTATGTAGCAATCTGCAAAACTCTTCCCCTAATGGACCCTTCCTCCTCCTCCAGGAGCTTATGGAAACACTTCCGAGCTGTGAGCCTGTGTCTGTTTTTGCTCGTCTTCCCTGCCTACATGGCATACATGATCTGCCAGTTTTTCCACATGGACTTCTGGCTTCTCATCATTATCTCCAGCAGCATCCTTACCTCCCTTCAGGTAAGTTCAGGATAGCAATGACAGCAACTACCTTCTGACCTTCTCTCCCAGGGGAGGAATGAACCTCCTCGAGGTCTCTCAGTTCACGTGGCCTGTTTAAGTGACCACTTCCCCAGACAACAGGAGGCAGGTCATTAGACACCAGCAGGATATGTCTGTGCTGTTAGGTTTTTCCTTTACGTAATAAACCTTCCAGTTCCCTTTACAGAGTGATATAATAGAGTTGTAATGTAATTATTAAGTTGATTGGCAATCACAAAGTATTAAAATATTCTAGGGCTTGTTTGGAGTAGGTTTTTAAATGTCAGTGCCGACTTTAAGATGGTTATTGTTTCACAACATAAATCTGTAACAAAGACTATTTTATGCACACGACAGCACTGTTCTAGAAATGACAGACTTACTATAACTCACAGGTAGATCTGTGCAGTCTGGTCATTAAGAAATGAAAGAAAATGTAGCAGCGGCAACAGAGGCCTGTTCATTTTTACTTGTGGACGGGGAGACAAAGGTCCTCTGTTGCTGAGGGCCAGGGATGAGTATGTGCAGGGGCAGGGAGGAAGATGTGGTGGACTGATGGGCTGGGATGACTTTGAGGAATCGCAGGTGTTGGATCACTCAGCTCACCACCTTGTCTGCACTGCCGACATTATGTTTTTCCCAGGTACTATTTAAATTTTAAATAAGGCACCTGAAAGATCCATAAACATGTTAGGAGTTAACCCTTAAAAAATGTTCTTAATTCCCATATTCTGTTTCACTGTAATTTTTTTCCAGGTTCTGGGAACACTTTTTATTTATGTATTATTTATGGTTGAGGAATTCAGAAAAGAGCCTGTGGAGAACATGGATGACGTCATCTACTATGTGAACGGCACATACCGCCTGCTGGAGTTCCTTGTGGCCCTCTGTGTGGTGGCCTATGGTGTCTCTGAGACCATCTTTGGAGAGTGGACTGTGATGGGCTCCATGATCATCTTCATCCATTCCTACTACAACGTGTGGCTTCGGGCCCAGCTGGGCTGGAAGAGCTTTCTTCTCCGCAGGGATGCTGTGAATAAGATTAAATCATTGCCCATTGCCACAAAAGAACAGCTGGAGAAGCACAATGACATCTGTGCCATCTGTTACCAGGTAACTTGCCCAGCAGGAAGGTGTGTGGGTAGGTCAGGCAGCATGTCCCCGGGGCCTGCCACCACTCACGTTCCAGACAAAATTTTTCTTGGGTTGAGGGGGAAGGAGGCTTCAGAAGTGATTGAAGACATGGTAAAATATTTCCATTTTATTTCTCAATTCACTTTCTAATTTAGTTCATCCAGTTCTAATTATTGTTTTCAACATTATTGCTGCCTGTAGCAGCTGCCTATGGCTATAGCTGGCATCATCAGTCAGGGCAAAGCTCTCCTTCCAGGGTCACATGGATAGTTTAGGTACAGTAATAGCATTTGTGTGTGTTAAAAATACCTAGCACAAGGATTTTTTTTTCTTATGGTAAAATACCATTACATTTTTCACTTTTTAAAAATGTAACATGCCTTTTGGACACTAGCAAAACAGTGTTTGCCAGGAGTTATGGCATTTGAGGGGATGGAAGTAAAGTGTCCTCTGCATTAGCCCCTGTGCTTGGTTTCATTGGTTGTTAGTCTACTCTAGCTTGTTTGTGACCTCACTATTTTCAGCAGTGCACTTCAGAAACAGATTTGGGGGCACTTCAGCTTCGGGAGCCTCAGGACTAAGTGCTCTGTCCGGGGGGTTGGGAGTTTGAAGCCTTCCTTTTGCATTTCCTGTGGTCACATCGCTTTCCTTGAGGTGCTGGGACTGCCTGCTGATGGCACCTGAAAGCCAGGGTAGCATTGCTGAGCTTCTCAGCTGGGTGTTCTTCTTTGGATGGCTTTCTGTTGAAAAGTTGGTTGGGGTTTTAACCAGTTCTTGGCAAGGAATTTCTGGGATGTTCATACTTCTTTGTTTGGGGCTTCAAACAAAATGAATGGCTTATTCACCAAATGTATACATGCCTCTACTCTTTTGACTTCATGCCCTCAGCCTTCCCTCCCCAAACATTCTTATGCAGGACTAATGCAAAGGATTGCTCCTCATTCTTATCCAACTTGAGAGCATAAAATTCACACATCTCACTTCAGATGTCCTGATTCAACAGGTCTGGAAAATGGGTTGCTAATGGATGGTTCTGCTGCAGATAGATGGCTTATACAGTCCAGACCTTAAGTACTGGGTACGCACGTGGTCTCTGATAATAATGCCATGTCCTGTCCATGGTGTTCTGTGGCTGAGTTTTGTCTCCCTGCAAATATCTTATCATGGGATCGTCTGGTGAGCTGTGTTGAAGCATAGTTGCAGGAAAACTCCTGACTTTGTCAGATTTTCCAAGGTAATTACTTGTGTCACCTGGTGGCTCAAGTACTGCTAGAGCTTGAGTGACACTTGTGTCACCCCAGGGACTGCTGCAGCTGCACTCCTGAAGCTTTGCAAACCCAGCTGAGAAGGTAGCTTCTTCCTCATTTTTGGTTTTATTTTTTCAATTTGTATAAGGGTTCTGATGGTGACAGGGTTATGACTGAAATAAAATGAATTTTATTCTAAGGTCTGTGTTACAGATTTTTGATTTGTGTTACAAAGGAATGTTGGAGCCAGAAATGTTGGGGGGTGGCTACAGAGCTCTTAAATGGCAGACACTTATGAGGTACCTTTCTGGCCCCTCCCTCAGGACATGAAATCTGCCGTGATGACGCCATGCAGTCATTTCTTCCACGCAGGCTGTCTTAAGAAGTGGCTGTATGTCCAAGAGACCTGTCCTCTGTGCCACTGCCACCTCAAAAACTCCCAACCTGCTGGACTAGGGACAGAGCCTGCTCCACAGCCCCATGCTGCAGCTGAGCAAAACCTCGTGCCTCAGCAAGGCACTGAAGCCCCAGGCCCTGAGCATCCTCCAGGATCCCGGATGCAGGAAGACTCTGGGGACAATCGTGGGGATATCACCAGGAGATCTGATAGCCAGGAAGGGGCTGTTGACCCCAGGCAGGAGCCTCAGAATGGGGTGGATGAAGGGCGGCCCACTGAATCAGTCTAGAAGGAAGGAGCAGCACCGTGCCCCTTGGTACTGTGGAGAAGAAGGCTTACCGTGGAACTGTGCTGGGATCTGATGAGGGAATGTGATGGAGTCAGGCAGGAAGCTCCATTCTGAGGATCTGCTCTTGCTCTGGGAAGCCCTCGGAGTCGAGACTTCCCACTCCAGCCCCTGGTGTGTAGAAGGAGTTTTGCAATGTATGCTCATCAAAATGTATTTATATGTTCTATGCTGATGTTCTATAGAGGCTTGCCAAGACGATTCAGTCAACAACTTCAGGTGCAGCCCCTGAGGGGTGCATAAAATCATATGTTGAGTTTGAAAGGGGCCAAGGGAAGGAGGCTAAATAACGTGAGGACAGTCTTGGGAAGAAGCGGAACTGGCATTATTTTTCCCTGTTTGTGGGACAGAATGATTTCTTGTTATAAAGTATGAGCTGTGATCAGCCCTTTTCTCCACTCCTTTCCTCTCAGTTAATCGGAACTCAGGTGGCTGTTGAGTTTTGTACAGCGCTACAGTGAAATCAAAGATGTAGAACACTGATTGTATTCAAAGACTGAAGCTTGATCACACTTGGATGTGCCGGGAGGGGAGGGGCTGATGCGCATTCATGTGACCAGACAAACTTGGATGTGCTCTACAGGGTTGGGGGGCTGGCCCCGGGCTTGGTGGGTGCATTCACGTGACTGAGACTCTTGAACTTCATGACGGAGTCCTCATTACTTTGTTGTATATGGAACTTTTGTTAATATATCTATACTTGGCTGGCTGGGTGAAGTAAACTAAAACTCTAATGAACACTTTGGAGTCTGCTTTAGCAGAGGAGGCCAAAGTGGGAAGGGCTTTAGGGCATTGATAAAGCCCCAAGTGTACTTTGCAATCTTGTGTAATGTTTAATTCTTGCAACTGAATCAAAACAGTGTTAAATTATGGCAATACTTGCACTTTGGGAATGAGTACAGACCTGTATGACCACTCTGCAAATGCCACTTTAAAGCTGTTCGTAGGCCTTGCACCTTTTCTTTGACAAGGATGTGTCATATTTAAATTTTTACCTTCATCATGGCTACAGGTAGAATGGGGGGGGGATTTTTTTATGGGAATTTTGATATGAAAAGAAACTAGTCATTTATTTATACAATAGGCTTGGCTCAAAAAGTGTTTTTCAGACTTGGTATTCCTAATGTGAGATGTTCACTTCATTTTATTTTAGTAGCAGATTGGGGTGTAGACTGACAGACATAGCTGAATGTCTTAATAAATCTAAATTTGAAGATAACTGGGTTTGTTTCCTGTGGTTTGTTGCTGTTGGAAAGTTCTTGTCTTGGTCAATCCCCATCACAAAAGCCCTGTACATGCAACACCCTGAAGGGCTAGTTGGTTAAATCTCCTACACAAGAGGAATAAAAGTCTTTAATCAGAAGCCTGTGGGGGGGGGGACGTCTTTTAAAAAGATAAATATGCCTGGGTGCCCGTGGCTCATGCCTGTAATCCTAGCTACTCAGGAGGTTGAGATCTGAGGATTGTGGTTCAAAGCCAGCCCGGGCAGGAAAGTCCATGAGACTTTATCTCCAGTAAACCACTCAGAAAACCAGAAGTGGCGCTGTGGCTCAAGTGCTAGAGCTCCAGCTATGAAGCTATGAGCTGAAGAGCTGAGGGACAGTGCCTAGGCCCAAAGTTGAAGCCCCATGATTGGCACACACAAAAAAGATAACTACGTATTTCTGGTTACCACCTCAGACCCACTGTGTCAGCTCTTCTGACAACATGAACTTCAGGCCTTCCCAAGTGATTTTGTGTCTAGCACTCCCCAAGTTTCTCACTATCGCTTCAATAGATCAGATCAGGCAGGAAACAAAGCAGATGGCTCCCTCTAGTGGCCAAAGAATGCTGCCAGCCCTAGCCACTATAAATTTTAAAAATCTTGATTTTCAGTCTTTGTATAATGAAGTTCAAAGATAAGTGTTGTGATATCCTGCTTTAAGAAACAGAACTGCAGATCAAGTTGGGATTGAATTGCCCTTTAGACTTGAGTACCTATGGGAGGAGAGGCATATAAAGTCATAAGGAAAAGTACTTGGGTATTTTAATGCCTGTGGAGATAGATTGCTTTGGTATCAGTGTCACATATTCATTATAAAGATACTTTCTTTTACCTCACAGCTAGCAGACCTTAGGAGTTCTGTATACCAAGCTAGAGGAGCCTGCTGGACACCTAGCCGCGATTGTATGTCCTTGTCTTGTAGGCAGGAGATCTATACTATGTAGCAACAAGCCCTCAAAATGACAGTGGTTTTGAGAATGCAAAGATTTGTCTTATGCATACACTACAGTTGCCAAGGATACCCTAGTTGATGAATCTTCCTGATAGTCATGCCAAAGGGAAAAAGACTGACACACTGTACAATCACCCGCTTTTCCTGAAGTGGACACCATAACTTTTACATTCTGTCCTACAGTCTTCAGTTAACCAGCAAAGTGCCTGTAATAGAGCTCTAGCCAATCTTGAGCAAAAGAAAGCTAAGGGAGAATGCCCAGGTCTTGAGTTATAGAACTAGTACTGGCACAAAACACAACACATGCATACACATAACAGGACTGGCTTGTGGCTCAAGTGGTAGAGCTCATGCCCACCAAAAGAAAAAATTCTTGTTAGAAGCAGAAGAGAACATAGTAATTCATGCCAACTAGAGAAGTCATTTCTGTGGGTGCCCTTTATAACTGCACTCAGATATTGGACTCTAGAGCAGGTGACAGATTAGGGACCTTCAGGTGATGAATTTTGCTCTGGCCTCCACAGTGCAATTTTATGCATTTAAAAATAGTTAGCCAGTACAAGAGTTTGAACTTGGGGCCTCCATCTCTCAGCTTACTTGTTGGTCACAGCTGGTGCTCTGCCATTTGAACCATACTCCCAGACTAGGATTTTGCTGGTTAACTGAAGTCTTGTAAACTTTTCTGCTCAGGCTGGTTTTGAACCTCAATCCTCTAGATCTCAATCTCTGAGTAGCTAGGATTTGGGGGGTGAGTTAACTGCATTTTAAAATACGGTTTGGAATATATTTGAGGGCTGGAGATGTGGCTTGGATAGAAAACTTGACTAGCACACACAAGTAGAAATCTGTATGAGTTGTTGACATTTTTCAAACATTGCAAATGATACAAACTCAATTTTTATGTTCTTAGGAAACATGAGAAGGACTGACTGCATAAGTTACATCCTTGCCTACATAGAACTGTTGAACTCAGGGCCTAACACTTTCTTGGCTCACTTATTTGACTGGTCCTTTATCATGTTTCTTGACTTGAGTGGCTCTACTTGGGTCACTTGATTCTCCAGATCTCAGCTCCTGAGTAAGATTGCAGGTATGAGCCACTCGTGCATGGCTTAGATTACTTGTAATACCTAATAGACAGTATTGTTTATGAAATAGAAGAAAAAGACTGTCCGGGTTCAGCATAGATATTTTTACTTGTAAATGGTTTTGATTCTTGGTTGACCCTATTGGTGAAGCCAATGGACAAGCCTAATCTTATTTCTATTAGGGTCTGTGCTTGAATTTCTGTACTCTGGTGAATGACCAAGTTGTTCCATGGCCTTAGACCACTGTGTTTCTTAATGTGATATGTTGGAAGCAGATGGGAATAGTCCTATAAAACATTAGAAACTTAGACCTAATCCTGTAATTCTGACTTGGTAGGTTTGGAATGGAGCCGGAGCTGAAGAGTCCAGACTTGGTTTAGAGAGTTCAAAAAGTAAACAAAAAACAAAAATGGCTTTCTTAAAGGTGAGTATGTAATCAGTCAGTGCAAGAAGTGCATGTTGAGGGGTAGGTAGGTACAAATTCTCATTTTCTCTCTAGTTGTTAATTATTTTTTTTCTCCAAAGCTGCTAGTCTTCCTTAAACTACCTTGGAATTCACTCCCTTAGGAAAAGACAAAGAAACACAGCTGAGATGTGAAGCACCTTGCTTAGTTTATGATGGTGACCTGTAGCACAAAGAACCTGTGCAGTGAAAGGTTCCGGGTTCTGGTGCTGGTGGGGGTTTGATTTCTAAACAGCCCCACATGATCAGAAAGGAGGGAAGTCAGCCGAGCTAATTTGCATAACCTTTAAAACCTTCCATCTGTGATTTTTTTTCTTTGAAAAATAATTCTATTGTCATTGAGGTATTGTACAGAGGGGCTCTCATTTCATAAGTCAGGTAATGACTACATTTTTTTTTTCTCGGTTGAACTCTGTGCCTGAGTGCTGTCTCTCAGCTCTCCAGCTCAAGGCTAGCACTCTACCACTTGAACTACAACACCACTTCTGGTTTTCTGGTGGTTTATTGGAGATTAGAGTTTCACAGACTTTCCTGCCCCGGCTGGCTTTGAACCTCGATCCTCAGATCTCAGCCTCCTGAGTAACAAGGATTATAGACATGAGCCACCAGTGCCCAGCTTTCTTTTATTTTTTTGGGGACGTCACTCCTTCCTTTTCCCCAGTTCCCCCTCCTATCCCTGCCCATAAGTTACTTCAGTCATTTTCCACAAGAATACACTGAGACACTGAGTAGCATGATTGCATTTGTTCACCCTCCCTCCCTCTCCACACCCTCCCCCTTCCATGTGTGATTTGCTTAGCTGTACTCTACAACTTACATGTTAGTGCCATGTTATCTTTTACTACGAATGTAGGTTTTTGGCAAACAGTAGCTAAAGAAATAGTACCTAAGAAATGCATCTGCCACCATGTACTTGGTATTCTAGGAGGAAGAGTAAACCAACTTTAAAACAACCCAGACGCTTCTGTAGTGTTGGCTCACCATGGCTGTTTAATTCCAAAGCCTGAGATATTTTTCCCTCCCTCCCTCCCTCCCTCCCTCCCTTCCTTCCTTCCTTCCTTTCTTCCTTTTTTTCTCCTTTTCTCCCTTCCCTCCCTCCTCTCCTTTCTTTCCCTTCCCTACCTCCCTCCCTTCCTTCCCTTCCTCCCTCCCTCCCTCCCTTTCTATGTACTGGGGCTTGAACTCAGGACCTCACATTTGGGAAGCAGACACTCTACCACTTGAGTCATTCTGCCCTGTGTTGGTTAATTTTTTGTGTTTTGTATTATTATAAAGGTGATATACAGAGGGATTATAATGACATAAGTCAGGTAAAAGAGTATATTTGTTTTTGGATAGTGTCACCCCTTTTCTTGCTCTCTTCCAGTTTTTCCCTCTGTGTTGGTTAGTTTTTGAGGTAGAGTCTCACTTCATGCCATCATCAACCTGGACCATAATTCTCTTACTTGTGCTGGGCCTCATAGCTGTGATGACAGGATAGTGTGCAACAAGCATCCAGCCATTGGTTGACTTGGAGTCTTGTGAACTTATTGCTTGGGCTAGCCTTGAGCTACGTTCCCTCCATCTTTGTCTTCCAGTTAGCAAGGATTTATAGGTATGAGCCACTTCATTCAGCTCCTCCCACCCCTTTGGGCTCTTTTGCTCAAGGCTAGCACTCTGCCACTTCGAGCCACAGCGCCACTTCTGGTCTTTGAGTGGTTAATTGGAGATAAAGAGTCTCACAGGGACTTTTCTGCTTGGGCTTTGAACCACTATCTTCAGAGATCAGCCTTCTGAGTAGTTAGGATTATAAGCATGAGCCATTGGCACCCACTAGGAGAGAAAGAACATAGAGGAGTAAGATTTCTGGATGAGGAGCAGGTGGCAGGCACGCAGCTTCGTGAGGCGCAGGGGAGGCCCCAGTGTCAGTCATGCGGTCTGAGGAGCACCTACATGCCATGTCTGGGGTTGTGTCAGCTAGCGCACACCTGCTACTGGCTTCCATCCTATTTTGTTTTTGTTTCTTTAAGGCATAGGTAGCAATGTGCCTATAATGCATCAGATTTACTCTGAGATAGGGAAACCTAAGCCAGTTGTCAATTAGGTTTTTGCTGGTGACCAACTGTTATGCATCAAACTCCCCATCCTCTCAAGTCCAATAAATCACTCTCCCAGCCAAATAGTCACCAATTTCCCTTTAAAATGAGAGTAGATATCTAAGAAAGTTTTTTTTTTTTTGATAGCTAGCTTCTTCTGGTTCAAATTCAGGGCAATCCCACCGTTGGGGTGGATGAGTTCAGGACCAGGACTCTGGGTATGGGTATGTTGTACACAATGATTGTGTGTGCCTTTGAGGAATTCTTAAGGCATTTGTAGGAATTTAGAGTAAGAAGCAACAGTGAAAAGAACTGGAGTTGCTGAGACTCAGGGATTCTCAAAGCTCTAGTTACAAGTGAAGTTTGCTTCCTTTTGT